TCCCATGTTTTTCCCCTCTGCGCAGATCATGTAATCGAATTGCTCAGTTTTCAGTAATTTTTTTTTTTTAAATGAACACTAAAACCTGAAAACGAAATGGTTATCAAACAGCCCCAAAGATTTTATTAATTTTTTGGGTTCCTTCACAGCTTTGCAGTTCATGGAGAACGACACGGTGGCCATAATTGGCCCCCAATTCTCAGCAACAGCTCATGTAATATCACACATCGCCGATGAGCTACAAGTCCCTTTACTATCATTTGCAGCAACAGACCCCAATCTGTCTCCAAATCAGTTCCCGTTCTTGGTTCGAACGACGAGGAGTGACCTCTTTGAGATGGCTGCAGTAGCAGACCTTGTTGGCTACTATGAGTGGAGAGATGTCATAGCAATTTACGTAAATGATGATTTCGGGCGGAATGCTATTGCTGCCTTGGGGGACAAGCTATCCAAAAAGCGCTGTAAAATTTCGTACAAGGTACCTCTGAGCCCCAAGGCAACCAAAGATGAAATCAGAAAGGCACTGATTAGTGTATCTTCAATGGAGTCTAGGATTGTGATCCTGCACATTTATACTAGTTGGGGTTTACAAGTGCTCACCGAAGCGCAAAGCCAAATGATGATGTCGAGTCCATATGTGTGGATTGCTACAGATTGGTTTTCCACCATAATAGATTCAGATCCTTCCTTGCCTTTTACAGCAACAGATGACATTCAAGGGGTTCTCACATTGAAAATGTACACGCCAGAATCAGAACTCAAAAACAAGTTTAAATCGCGGTGGAGCAACTTGACTAGCGCAAGGAGGGTGAATGGCTCTTATTTCGGCTTAAATACCTATGGTCTATATGCCTATGATTCTGTATGGCTTCTTGCTCATGCCCTTGACTCGTTTTTCTCTCGTGGAGGAAATATTTCTTTTGCAAATGACTCAAATTTGCACGAATTACGAGGAGGCAAGTTAAACCTTGATGCTTTGAACATGTTTAATGGTGGCAGCCAGCTGCTCCAAAGCATTTTAGAGGTTAATACAACTGGATTAACTGGGCAAATCAAGTTCAATCCAGACGGAAACTTGATTAATCCTGCATTTGAAGTGATCAATGTGATCGGCACAGGGACTAGGACTATTGGTTATTGGTCCAATTCTTCTGGCCTGTCGCTTGATCCACCTGATATGTCTCAAAGGAAGCTGCACTCTAATGGTTCCAGCACTGATACTCAACGATTATACAGCGTCATCTGGCCCGGACAAACAACTCAGAAGCCTCGCGGGTGGGTTTTCCCCGACAACGGAAGAAAGCTCAGGATTGGAGTCCCCAATCGAGTTAGCTACCGCGAGTTTGTAGGCGTAAAAGGCACTGAGTTCACTGGCTACTGCATTGATGTCTTTCAAGCCGCCTTAAACGAGCTGCCATATGGTGTCCCATTCAATTTTATAGCTTTCGGGGATGGTAAAAAAAACCCTGAAAACAATGAACTTCTACACAGGATCCAAATTGGTGTAAGTATAAAATTTATGGCACATAAGAAAATTATTTGACTTTGCTTGACATCAGTATGATTATTAATTTTTCGGGTTTCAATCTTTATGCAGGAGTTTGATGGTGTGGTGGGAGATATTACAATCACCACTAGCAGAACAAAGGTGGTGGATTTCACACAGCCATATGTTGAGTCTGGTCTAGTTGTGGTTGCTCCAATTAGGAAGATGAATTCTAGTGCTTGGGCATTTTTGAGGCCTTTTACTCCAATGATGTGGGGTGTCACAGGCATTTTCTTCCTGGTTGTGGGAGCAGTTGTTTGGCTTTTGGAGCGTCGGACTAACGAGGATTTTCGAGGCCGTCCAAGAAAACAATTTGTCACAATTATTTGGTAAGTTCTTCAATCCACATCTCCTAATGTAAAATTGAACTTTGTTAACTGTGTTAATACAATTCTTGTTCTGTTTTTTTGGGGCTTTGCAGGTTTAGCTTTTCAACTCTGTTCTTCTCCCAGAGTAAGTGAAATAAAGAGCGTTACGTTTTGTTAATTTTACTTATATATCAACATAGGCGTAGTCAAGGTCGATAGAGCCGCGTGCTCCCCCTTCTGCATCTATGTTTGAATAAAAGAATTCTTACTTACAAACTGGCTGATCTTATTCCTTGGTAACATTATGCAGAAGAAAAAACCGGCAGCACACTTGGTCGATTTGTGCTTATCATATGGCTATTTGTGGTTCTAATACTCAACTCAAGCTACATTGCTAGCCTGACATCAATCCTCACTGTCGAACAGCTTTCTTCACCTGTTAAAGGGATTGAAAGTCTGGCAACCGGCAATGATCGCATTGGTTTCCTAAAGAATTCATTCGCTGAAAACTACTTAACTGATGAGCTAAACATACACAAGTCAAGACTTGTGCCTCTTAACTCCCCAGAAGAATATGAGAAGGCCTTGAAAGATGGTCCTAATGCAGGTGGTGTTGCTGCAGTGATTGATGAGCGTGCATACATGGAGCTCTTCCTCTCCGTTCGATGTGGATATAGTATCGTAGGTCAAGAATTCACCAAAATGGGCTGGGGTTTTGTAAGTATCTCATATCCCTTCATATCATTCACAAAAGTACATGACATTTGTTTAATATAAACTTTTCTTAGCATATCTCTAGTTTGATATGTTACGTTGTCACATATTAATATTCGATAGTCTGACAGCATAACGTATCAGACTGTCTAACACTCCTATATTAGTGTAATAATAGTTGGTCCTTCCTTTTAGGCCTTTCCAAGGGACTCGCCTCTTGCAATTGACATGTCAACCGCGGTGTTGAAACTATCTGAGAAGGGAGATCTTCAAAAGATTCATGACAAATGGCTGATGAAAAGTGCTTGCAGTGCAGAAGGAGCAAAGCAAGCCGTAGACCGCCTTCCGATGAGTAGCTTCTGGGGTCTCTTTCTGCTGAGTGGCACAGCTTGCTTTCTCGCTCTTGTTCTTCATGTTTTTCGCATGGCGCACCAGTACTACAAGCATTATGATTCCGACTGCGAGAGCTCACAAGCAAAACGCCTTCGGTCCTTCGTTTCGTTTGTAAATAAAAGGGAAGAGGAAGTGAAAAGCAGAACCAAGAGGAAGAGGACTGAGAAGGCTTCAAACAAAGTAGTGCATGATCAAGATTGTAGTTCCATTGATGGTTTGGATGAAAGTGTGTAATTAAATGTTGAGTTACTTTTTTTCTAAGATAGTGTTATTCTCACCCCCATTTTTAGCTCTCACTCACCATTGTCAATTTTTGATCATTGATCTTCTTCAATTCATTCGATCTGATGGCCCAAAAATTAAGAGGTGTGTGAGAAGTAAAAATTGGTGTGTGGATAGCACTGCCTAATCATTAGAAACTTAAGTTAGTACTGTAATTAGTATAAAATTAAATCACTTGATGTAAGTTTAACTCAAACAAACACTTATGTCATTGACAGATAGTTGTTGTATAAGTGTTTGTGAGAGGATGTCATGAGTTCAAATCTCGTAAACAACGACCGTTTGTTGAAAAGATTTATAACAAAAAGCTTTACTTGTTTCTTTTGGAATAATTATAGCTCATCTCTAATCGTACTTAAGACTTCTCACTACTGTGAAGAGGAATACTAATTAACTATAGTACAGAGTGACGAATTCAATTTTTTTTATTAAAATGGAAAATTGTAGACACAAAACTTGGACTATTATGCAAGTACCACCCAAGCTGAAAACCGTTCCAAACCACTGTGCCTCATGTTTGGTAAAGTTTAGCCAAACGTACCATTTGTAATCCAATGTGAGCCGTTTGTCAATGCTATTTTTGTCACTTGAAAGATTCTTAGATGACTTAGGGTAGGAATTTAGTTGATTAAAACTTAAAAGCTCGTGAGATACATACTCCGGTTTCTCAAAGACAACTTGTAGTCAACAGAATTCTTACCCCAAATCGTCTAGAGATTTTAGAGTGGCACACTCGATGAGTTTTGGAAATTCTGACGAAGATATTTAGAGGTGGTACGTCCACATTGGTCTGAATGATAAATTGGTGTGCAGAGTTCTCTTGTTTAAAAAGAATCTTGAGCATATGTGCTAAATCATTTTGGTGAAAGCAGCCAACTCAACTCAGTGTCCAGTATGGACCACATGGCCCATATAAGATGGTTCACATGTGGCTATGGCCTCCAGGTTAAGCCAATTAATTGGAGTCTGGATCTTCATCAGATTCTCTTCGTGAGGATTCCGGAGATTCCGGAATTGTGTCTATTTATTGTATATCGTGCAGTAAAAAATTATTTTAAATATTTTTATGTAAAAATAAATATGAACAGTATTCGACAAAAATTGACCGCACGATATACGATGAACAGACACGATTCGCAAATCCTCAACATCCTCATAAAAAATATCTGAAGAGAATCTTGTTGGAATTAATTGAACAGATACTGTTTCTGATTGAGACCCGAGAATCAAAAATGGACCACATCTTGTTCTTGTCTGTGCACAAGCAGCAACAGGAGGAAGCATATGAGAAGGTGGAAGCCACGGGCGTGCGCTTCTTTGCTCATAAAGGTACCACTTCCACTGGTTTCTTAGAGTCATATTCGAGTCGGTAAATGTTTTTGGATGTCACCAATTGTATGTATATTTTCATTCATTTTTTCTATTTATCTTGTTGCATGCCTCACTGTCCCTTTTTTTTTTGGTTAAAGGATTACTTCATAGAAAACAGAAAGGCACAAGGCATGCCTCACTGTCCGTTTTGAGATGGCTTTTTGTAAAGAATACTTGTGGTTATATGAGTTTATGCTAAAAGTGTTTTTATTGTAAATATGTTGAATAAGCATGTGACGTAAATACATTTTCTATAAAGCGTTTTTAGTTGTCAAAAAGTAATTTTAGTCATCTTAAAAACAATCACAAACAAATCGGCGAGAAGAAAAACAAAGACGAAATGTAATACAAGGCAATTACGTCATTTTAGTGCGTTGTGATCACTTGGTGCAAAAATATCCTAAACGGAAGCAAAGTACTGCAACAATTATACACCTCCCAACTTCACATGGTGAGAAAAAGGGGGAAATTCCTCCACAAACACCATTTTGTTTGCCACTGAGAATTCCGGGATCGTCATCCTCATGTCATGGAGCAACATCTCATCAGGTCCAACAAAGTCCCTTGCTTTCTGCCTGTTATTGATTTCCGACCCACATTTAAGCATGCGAATTATATTCTCCCAACAATACATGAGATTCTTCAGAACTTTCTACTTATGTGTGACAATTTATGCATAAAGTTCCAAACTTTATTAATCTTTTTGCATTTTGTATGTCTTTCATGTTCTTTAGATAGAAAGTTAGGAGCCCAGTTGGCCAATTCTAGTTGTTCTTGGAGAGAGAACATGCAACGGGACGTCGTTGTGGCGGAATTGAGTTTTCTCGAGAAGGGTTTCTGGGTTTTAGTCCGGTTCTTTGGATTAAGTCGGTAGATGCTGGGTTAGTTGTCTTTTCATCTGGAATCGACATTCTGAGGTTTATTTTTCTTCTTTTACTGTTTTTTTAACTTTTTTAATTCCCTTTCACTGTTGAATTGCATGTTGCTAAAATATGCATCTTCTTGTTATCCCACAAATAAAAATTCTCATTTTAGAGAGCTCTTGCTTTTCCCTCAAAGTAAGCACTTTCCTCACAAGCTGCTTTTTTACTTTAATTTCATCTATTTGTTGGTAATTAAGCATTTCTACTTAATACTTATCAGCTAGCTATTGTGTTTCATGATTAAATCTACTTATTAATGAGAATTTCTGCTTCTTAAACCCTGTTTTATCCACTTCTTGTGGAGCTTATGCTGTTGAGCTTAAATCTGCAGATTCTTTCAAAACCAATATTTTATTCTTGTTATTGGATGAATTTTTGAGTTTCTTGTTTATTTTCGATGTTTTCTTGATTATGTAGTTTTGAGTATGAACTCCAGTTGATTGTATCACTTTCTGGGAGGTTGGTTTGCTTCCTTGGCAAAGAAGGGTGAAAATTTTAGGGTTCATGGTTGAACAGTTAGCCATGAGTATAGTTTGGCTCCTGGTTTTGATGATTTTCTGTAATGGGTTGGCCTCAAATGGTGCCAGCACTACCAATGTCTCCACTAGACCAGATGTTGTAAATCTCGGGGCAATTTTCTCTTTCGACACCATTATTGGCAAAGTTGCCAAAGTGGCAATAGAAGCCGCAGTCAAAGATGTGAATTCTGATCCATCTGTTCTTGGTGGCACCAAGATGATTGTTACAATGCAGGACTCAAATTACAGTGGGCTTCTGGGCATTATTGAAGGTACGTCTTGCGAATTCGTTCAAAGTTTTAAACTCTTCTCTTACTTTTTATTATATGGGTAGTAGGATCACTGTTTCATTGATAAGTTAATTAACTATGGTTCTGTATTTTATAATTGTCTGCAGCCTTACGGTTTATGGAGAAAGACACAATAGCGATAATTGGACCGCAGAATGCTGTCACCGCTCATGTAATATCTCATATTGCAAATGAGCTCCAAGTTCCTCTAGTATCATTTTCGGTAACAGACCCCACCCTGTCAGCACTTCAGTTCCCATTCTTTGTTAGAAGTACCCAAAATGACCTTTATCAGATGGCTGCGATAGCAGAAATGGTTGATTACTACGGATGGAGAGAGGTTATTGCACTCTATGTTGACGATGACCATGGGAGAAACGGGATTACTGCATTAGCAAATATGCTTGCTGAGAAACGATGTAAGATATCATACAAGGCGCCATTGGTCCTTGATTCTAATCGGGATAACATCACTGATGTTCTGGTTAAAGTGGCTTTAACAGAGTCTCGGATTATTGTTCTTCATGCTTATGGCAGTTGGGGTCCTCTGGTTTTCGATGTGGCCAAGTATCTTGGCATGATGGGAACTGGATATGTCTGGATAGCTACTAGTTGGCTTTCTACTTTAATAGATACCGCCTCTCCCCTCCCTTCAGGTATGATGGATGATATGCAGGGAGTTCTAACGCTGCGCATGTACACGCCAGAGACAGAACTGAAAAGAAAATTTGTTTCAAGGTGGAGCAACTTGACTAGTGGACAGACATCTAAAGGCCCAATTGGGTTGAATGCTTATGGTCTTTATGCCTACGATACTGTGTGGTTGCTTGCTCGTGCAATCGATGCCTTTTTTGATCAAGGGGGAACTCTTTCATTCTCGAATGATTCACGGTTGACTCAGCTTCGCGGAGGGGATCTGAATCTTGATGCTATGAGCATCTTTAATGGAGGCAATCTGTTAATGAAAAACATTTTGCAGGTTAATATGACTGGTGTATCTGGCCCGATGAAGTTTACTCCAAAAAAGGACCTCATTCGTCCTGCGTTTGAGGTCATAAATGTGATTGGAACGGGGATTAGGACGATTGGTTATTGGTCCAATTTTTCGGGATTATCAGTTGTACGTCCAGAAACACTTTACACAAAGCCACCAAATCATTCCAATTCAAGTGATAAACTGTACAGTGTAATTTGGCCTGGACAAACAACACAGAAGCCTCGTGGTTGGGTGTTTCCAAACAACGGAAGGCACTTGAGGATTGGAGTCCCAAAACGTGTTAGTTTTCGTGAATTTGTTTCATACACAGAAGGCAATGACATGTTCACAGGATACTCCATTGATGTTTTTACTGCTGCATTGAACTTGTTGCCCTATGCTGTTCCATACAAACTGATTCCCTTTGGTGATGGCCATAAGAATCCAAGTGTCACTGAGCTTGTGCACAAAATCCAAACGGGTGTGAGTATCATTGTATACAGAACATTTCTTAAAACTTAGGAGGTAAATGTTTTTCTGATTGCCCTGTTTCTTGTTTTATGTAGGAATACGATGGAGCAATAGGTGACATTGCAATCATCACCAACCGAACAAGGATGGCGGATTTTACCCAGCCATATATCGAATCTGGGCTAGTAGTAGTTGCACCTGTTACACCAACATTGAATTCAAATCCTTGGGCTTTCCTGAGGCCATTCAATCCCATGATGTGGGGTGTGACGGCCGCCTTCTTTCTCATTGTTGGAACAGCTGTTTGGATTTTAGAGCACAGGCATAATGATGATTTTCGGGGGGCTCCTAAAAAACAATTTGTCACTATTCTGTGGTGAGTAGCTAAGAACCATATCATGTGATCGCATTCTACGTTGGCAAACCTTATAACTTTGCTTTGTTTAAAGACATTTGGGGTTCATTTCTCATCATTTATGTTAGGAGTTTTACTTCTTGATGCATTAAAAATCCAAATTCACTTACAATTTGTGATTTCCTTCTGCAGGTTTAGCTTTTCGACTTGGTTCTTTGCGCACAGTGAGTAAATCCAAACTAATTCCATAGATTTTTAGCAACCATGAGTTAATAGCAGCTTCGGCTTGTGCTAATCTACTCGTATTGTTCTTTTTTGGGTTGGGATCTTGTGCAGGAGAAAATACAGTCAGCACCCTTGGTCGCTTAGTGCTAATAGTATGGCTGTTCGTTGTTCTTATAATCAACTCAAGCTACACTGCAAGTTTGACCTCAATCCTTACCGTGCAACAGCTTTCTTCCTCCATCAAAGGCATTCACGCTTTGCTTTCAAGCAACGCTCCCATTGGCTACCAGCAAGGTTCATTTGCCCGGAATTATCTAGTTGACGAACTCAATGTTGACGAGTCCAGACTCGTTCCTCTTATCATGCCAGACGACTATGCCAAAGCCTTGAAAGCTGGTCCCCATAAAGGTGGTGTTGCTGCAGTGATTGACGAGCGTGCTTACATAGAACTTTTCCTCTCGAGCAGATGTGATTTCAGTGTTGTAGGTCAAGAATTCACCAAAACCGGTTGGGGATTTGTAAGTTATCTTTTATTCATAGAGTCTGATATGTTACGTTATCAAATTTTCAATCTATACCACATGTTCAAACATAAATTTGTTGATCAATCATACAGATTACGATCTGACAACAATTCGTTGCTCATTTCTATTCAGGCTTTTGCAAGGGACTCGCCTTTAGCGGTGGACCTGTCTACTGCACTTTTGAAGCTGTCGGAGAACGGGGATCTACAAAGGATCCATGATAAATGGCTTATGAGAACTCCTTGTGCCTCACAAGGCGCAAAGCTGCAAGTCGATAGGCTTCAACTCAAAAGCTTCTGGGGACTCTTTGTTATCTGTGGTGCAGCTTGCTTCCTTGCACTCGCTATATATTTCTGCATGATGCTGCACCAGTTCAGCAAGCACAACACTGATGAACTGATCACTACTGGTAGCTCCAGGTCCACACGCGTTCAAACGTTTCTCACATTTGTTGATGAGAAGGAAGAGGAAGTGAAAAGCCGGTCGAAAAGAAGACAAATGGAGAGGACTTCAAATAGAAGCGCGAGCGAAGATGAATCGATGTATAACTCAAAAAGAAGACACCTTGATCAATCACCGTCAAGTGTGAGTAATGTTAATAGTAATCATGCCTGATCAGAACCATCCAACTCCAAGTGGAACTTCACAGGGACTGTTCTGATACGAATGAGTTTTTTATACAAGCGATATTGAGAGGGAGAAATCGAGCGTAGGAGCTCAGGTGCATGCGGTGGATGCTCTTAACGAGCTTAACTACAATTTCATTGCTATACTTAGAAGCATGTATACATAAGTCGTGTGGTTATATATTTTTCATGCTACATTATTCTTATGGTAATGTTTGGGCAAAGCTCTTTGGCAAAATTAATTAAGTATACAAATTTGTGCACAATGACATGAAATCTACCCTTTGTATTTTTAAGCCACAATAGGCTTCTAAGATTGACATAACTCCCTACATTATCTCATGAGATTTTGAAATTGATACAAATGGTCCTGAGCTTGTCCACCATCAATCATTTTGGTCATGTCGTGAAACATCTCCATTAAATAAGGATAAGGATGAAATAACAAAAATACCTTCAATTTTTGTCAAATCATTTTGACCCATTGTTCATTAAATTGAGGTATTTCTGTCATTTTGATTATTTAACAAAAAAATTCATGAAATAATCAAAATGATTGATGGTAGACAAACTAACATACCACTTTTATCGATTTCAAATCTCAAGAACCAATTCTATTGATTTCAAATTTCAGAGACTAAAATGAGGAATTACACCAATCTCATAGACCGTTTTGACTAAAAAACCTTTTGAGTTTATATAAATATGAATTTCTCCACCGCCAATCAAAATTTGTCTTGTGAGCATAAATATTTTTATTCATATACAGACTGTAATCAACATGAATGTAAGAATTCCTCTTAGGGAAGAAGCCAAACAATGTCATTTCCTATTTCATTGAAGTTGAACAAGCAAAACTCTGACCAAATTCAAAGTTTGTAATGTAGCCATTACTTACTCATCTACGTTTTATAATATAACAGTCTAGATTGTGACACATGGCTAACGATAACATTTCTAAATTTTTTTCTATTGCCAAGAAGCATGGATAGTTGATCGGAAAATCAAATAGTTCAGATTGTGTCACGTCATCTACTCATTGGGGGATATTTCATTTTATCGTTGGAAATCCGACGGCTCAGAAAAATAGTCATTGGAAATCCAAATCCAACAGCCGGAAAGCAGTCATGTTGCCCAAACCCAACAGAAACTGCATGTGGGCCCCATTGTCTGCAACCTTGTTGGAGACGCGCCCCCAATCTCGCATGTTTTCTATGCGCTTGGCGCAAAATTTTTTTATAACGTGGCTGACATCAGCCTTGCATCATATTTACACACGCACTAGGACTGGGACTTTTTGCCTGATTGAGCCGTTGGGCTCTGGAGCCCAATTGCCTGGACTGATGTGAAAGGTTTTTGGAAGGAGGGAGTACATTGGATTACCTATTCCTAAGGCTATTTGCTCCCACTAGAGTTGCTTTATATGAATGACGTAAGTAATATGTGATAAATAGGGCTGGTTTTGAGATTTTTAAGGTCGGGACGACGCTAAAAAAATATGCCCTCATTTCATATAAAAAAAATTGTTTTTACATGTAAGATATCAATAAAATTATATTTAGAAAAGCACTTCAGACTCAGTAATTTAGAAACACAAAAAAACAAATTTATTTTGTATTGAGAGAAGGAAACAAAAAAACTTCAGCCTTACAAGTAAATAGATTATGAGTTTTGTCTTCCATTTGAATTTTTAAAGTGTTTTTGTATAAATTGTGATGTGCTTTTTTTATTTAGTAACCTCTTAAATATAAGATTAAAAAAATAATGATATTTTCGAGTCTTTAAGAATATGTATAAGTAGTAATGAATGGGCATCAAATTAAACATTTTGATGACACTTCATATGATTTGCAAATTTTGTCTAAAAATTTAGTCTACGCATTACCCTTTGTTGAATATTAGATTTGAATTGGAATGAATATTTAAAAATAGCAACCCACATAGTTACTAGTTAGTAATTAAAAATAAACTAACAACCAAACAAAAATTCGTAAAAATTAAAAAAGATAAACATGCCCATAACATTTCGAACTTAGGACCTCTCGTTAATTTTAAATACAAAAATCATTGATTCTAATTAAACTTCTAATCATTTAGCCAAATTTTATAAAATTAAACTGTTATAAAAAGAATTTTGTAAAAATTGGAATTTAAATAAGGACACATGGTGTTTTGAACCTAAGATCTCCTCATTAATTTCAAACAACAAAATCATCGATTATAGTTAAATTTCCTTGTCATTAAACCAAAGTTTATAAATTTATACTCTTATAAAAACGTATATAAATATGCCACACTAATAATTTTGGTGCCTCTAATTTTTTTAGACCCTAAACGGTCGCCCTATCCATGTCACGTATAAAAAAAAAAATACATTATCACAAGCGTTAATCTGCATTGCTTTCGAAATACTTGTCAAAGCATTCTTCTTCTCAACAACTCTGTATTACTTCCAGCGGAAGTCACCGAACCGACTTGCAAAGTTGAAATCGAATCCTTCGCGAAGAAATGAGTCTTGTCTCGGAGTTCCAAAGTCGAAGGTAAAAATAAGAGACCACACTAACTCAAACTACCTCTTTAAATACTTTCAAGTAGGGGTGGTTCGGTATGGGATCCCATACCGAAACCCTTGTCCCGATTCCCATACCGAAATTTTCGGGAATCCCAATTTCAATACCGATCCCAAACCAAATTTTCTGGAATCCCGAAATAGTTTCGGGATTTCGGGACAAATCGGGAATCCCGAAATAATTTTGGGCTTTTGGGCTTTTGGGCTTTTGGACAAAAAAAGCTAATATTGGTCCAATTGATGAACTGGATAAGCATTCCACGCAGAAGAAATGGATTGACATTTAGTAGTAAACAATACCGGCACCAACAATCTCAGACATGCTTGCATTTACAAATACAATTAAAATATCACAACAAACAAATGAGAGCACAATGATGAAGGACAATGCACAACAATGGCACTTGGTAGTGGTACCATGATAATCTCAGGGGTTTAACAAAATGTGGGATAGGACAATGCACATCATACCACTGACCCAGAGATCTTCAATGCGTCCAGCTCTCTCTTGTTCCACAGTAGGTCATGCGAAGAAATCCGTCTTCATCCTTGTTTTTCTCATCAATCGCAGACATCAAGGTTCCTGTAACAACATTGGAGGAATTACTGAGAGGTATTAAATCCACCACTAATTTGGGCACAAGACGGATATTATCAAGTGGCATAAAACAAAAATGAGTTGAAGCTCTCCTCACCATTGGGATGTTCAGTGTTCTTGAAATAGACAAACAAAGGATCTTTAGATGCAACCTTTGTCTGAAGATACCCAACAAACTCCTCAAGAGTGACATCACGTGGACTTGGTATCTGCAGTCAAAAAACACAGGAGACACAATAAAACTACATGAGAACCCCTTCTTATAAGACAAACTCTTATATATCTCCCTTCTTTTTTCATTCGATTTCGTTAACATATGAAATACCAAGAGCATGCACGAAAACGGGGGCAATACAAATCATGATAACCAAGGCAAAAAGGAACCGGAAACTAACTTCTTTGCATCAAGTTCAGGAAGGCCACTGCTTCCATCCTTCTCCACAATCACCTGCAGGGATGCTCGTATTAGAACATGGTAGCCCTGTCTTAATAAGCATAACTGATGTGCAGTGAAATTCTCACCGGTACATGAGACGGATACCACTGCCTCATTTTCTTAGCATCTGAAATACGCCGTTCCAGCACCTCCAAAGTACCCCTGAACATTTGTCAAAAACATTGATGATAAATCAGCAATCCCATTCCACTGTAGCAAATACCAATCAAGAGAGGAGAACTAAAGCGCAAGGGAGGGACTGGGCAACTAACTTTGTAAAATCATTGAAAATTCCAAGCTTCTCCGCGATCACGTGCATAGAGGCTCAAATTAGAACAGAGTGTATCCACTGAAAGTGTGGGGCGTAAACTTACTTAATTCAGCTTAAATTCTTACCTCATCAAATGAGCGTTTTAAAGCATTCCTACCGTCTAACTCTTTAATCCTCTGCAAGAAGGCTCAAATTACAACAGGGAATATCCACTGAATGACTAGGAAGTACATGTGTCTGATTCACTGAAATTCTTACTGGTATATCACCGGATCGAAAGACTACTCCTTCCTATTTCCAATCTGCACTGTAGGTCACGCGAAGAAATCCATCATCGTCCTTGTTTTTCTCATCGATAGCAGATATCAAGGCTCCTGTAACAACATTGGAAGAATTAGAGTCATGGCAACCGTAGACAATCTGGGATCAAGATGGATATTATCAGGCTGACCTAAAACAAGAATGAATTGCAGCACCGCTCACCAGTTTCGGGGACTGTGTTCTTGAAATAGACATAGATAGGCCATTCTGGTTCAAAGTGAGACCGTGAGAGAGATCCCCAGTTCTGTCCGTGAAAGAGAACCCTCGAATCAATGCAGTTCTGTGACCGTGAGAGAGAGAGATCGCGAGAGAGAGTGGTGGTTGTGTGGTGAAGGAAGGCTGGAGAGTCAGAGACGAGAGTATGGTGTGGTGGTGGGCCGGTGGCTGGTCGGAATTCGACAGTCTGGTGAGGGACGACGTTGGCCGGAGGCTAAGGGTCAGGGGGCTGCACTTCGAAACAAATGAACGGAGGAACTGAAATGTGATCTGACCTAAAAACAAATCAACGGCACATATTAAATCCAAAACAATCAACGGTTGAAATAATTCTCTTATAATTAAAAAATTATATATATATATATATTTTTTTTTTCGGTTCGGTATGGGAATACCGAAAAAATGAAATGCAATACCGAATCCCATACCGAAACTTTCGGTTTGGTTTGGGATTACATCCCGAAAATTTCGGGAATTTTGGTTTGGAATTTTTTTGGTTTGGTTTGGGATTTTTGGGATTTTTTTCCAGCCCTACTTTCAAGTACTATATTTAATTCAAATTCACGATAACAATGATGTAATTTACGATTTAACTTAAGGTGCTAGACTAGAGAGTCAAAGATTGTTTTGCGTGGTTATAAACATTTTTGAGGTCATGCATTTAAATCCTTTCAATATCGCTTGGATGGATAAAACATAAAATACAAGCGATATATATATAAATACTAAACACTTCAAAAAAATTGGTTGGAAGAATGATCAATTTTAAAATCCCAATACTTAAAAAAAGTAGTCAAAATGATTAATCTTTTAATCTTCATGGTTCAAATGATAAAATTTTCATCATGAAAATCAATAGATAACGTCATTATTTTGAAGGAATTGTTATTGGCACTTAAAAAATTTCATTTTGTAATCCAAACTTTCTATAATTAACAAAAAAAATACACAAATGTAAAATTTAAATTGCGCTAATTTGATCTGCTCAGCAATTAAATTAAATTTTAAATCATTTTAGCTAAAGAGTGAACTAGTTCGTTGCCCTACGCCGTAACGGTCAAACCGGAGTATGTAGAAGTAAGACCACTCGAAGCCGCCGCTCGTATCTCTCTCGCGGCAGTCCCATTCCAGTTCACTCGCCACTTCACCAGCAACCGAAAACGACGCCGTCGCACGTATCAGGGAGGCCGAAACATGTTGCAGAACAAGTCATTCGTCAAGAGAACCAGAGGCGGCAAAATCACCAAGGTCCCCAAAAACCCTAACCCTTCCTCTTTGCGCTGCTGTTTTTCCAATTTAGGGTTTAAGCCAAGTAGGGTTTTTGATTTCGTTGTGCTTCGATTTTCAGGTCGTGAGAGAGCACTATCTCCGGCACGATATTTACTGTGGAGCTCCGGTTTGCAAAGTTTGCGATACGTCCGGAGCTCGATTGAGCCCTACCGCTTCCACCATTCTCATCTTCGACACCAATGTCGTCCTTCACCAGGTTACAATTTCTAACAGTTCATTTTTTTTTTCGTTATTAATTTGTTTTCTAATTGCGAATGAATGAACGAATGATTTCGAGCTGTGTTGGTTTGCAGATTGATTTGATTGAGAATCCGGCAATAGACGATGTGGTTGTGCTTTCGATTGTGTTGGAAGAGGTTAAAAACAGGAACTTGTCTGTTTACAATAGAGTTAGAGCTCTGTGCAGCAATTCTTTGAGGAAATTTTTCGTCTTTTCGAACGAACACCACAAGTATGTTCTACCCCTAAATGAAAATTCTACTTATTTATGTTAAAATGCGTGCATTTGTTCATTGTAGATAGGTTGATTTTGATATTGTCGATTTTAGGCGCCTATTTTGATTTTTGTTGACTGCTGCTATGTTCAGGGATACTTACGTTACAGACATGAGCGGAGAAAGCAAAAATGATCGAAATGATAGAGGTTTGCTCATGTCGTTATTATGAAACCTTATTCTTCATGATATGCTTTTTGTATAGTTCTTCTTCATTTTTTGTGTCTATGTTATTTGCAATACTTGAATACAAGTATCCACTTGCTTGTTATGGAATTTGGTTTGTTGTGTGGTATGTATCTTTTCTCACTCGATAAATTGTTGTTCAGCAATTCGGGTAGCTGCTCAATGGTATCAAACTCATCTTGCTGGTTCAGCTAAGGTTTTACTTATAACCAATGATAAAGAGAATAAGAGGAAGGCTATTGAAGAGGGAATTTCTGCAGAGACAGGTCTGTTTATGTTTGCTATCCTAGTATTTTGACAGCATTTCTGATGTTCTAGACCTTCCCTTCAAGTTTAGTATCCACATAATTTGAATGTTTTTATTTTCAGTTTTACATCATCCTGACAGAAATTTAATGGAATTACTTTCTTGGAAATTATTGTCTTGTCTTCAGTTGAATCATATGTGAGGTCATTGAGTAGGCCAGAATTGCTCGACCTTCTCGTGCAGCCTGCATCCGAAGATGTAAAGATGGAGGACACTGAAGATTTGAGACCATCAAAAAGGAAAGTCATCTACTCAGAGGTATTGCAACTGGCTATGCATTCATGCGTTTAGGTGGTGTTATAAGTTTTATGAAACAAATGTTGTTCTTACCAGTTTCTTTCTATCTTCTCTTTCAGCATAAGCCCATGTCTGAAATTACTTCTGGCTTGCATCGTGGCATATACCATCAAGGAAAACTTCGAGTTAATCGTTACAACCCCTTTGAAGCATATGTTGGAAGTGAGAGCATTGGTGATGAAATTATAATATATGGACGTACAAATATGAATAGGGCTTTTGATGGTGATATAGTGGCAGTTGAGCTTCTGCCGCAAGATCAATGGCATGAGGAGAAGTCTCTAGCTTTAGCAGATGAAGGTATGTAATAAATAATTAACGATATGTATGCATATAATGTAATTTTATGAAGGTCAGGCTTGGTTGGTAACTATAACTCTGAATTGATGTTTTTAGGTAGCTTTAGGTCTTAGTTATAAATTAATTTGTAGTTACTTTTTTCTGGTAGAAAGCTGAAAAACATCTCTTCTCTCTCTCCCTCTCTCTCTCTCTCTCTCTCCCCCTCAGGCATTTTTTCTGCTCGTTTAATTCTCTTAATTGGTATATTTTGTACTACCTTGCAGAGGATGAGGAAGAAGATGTTCATCTGGTTCCAGGCAGTGCTGATGATGCTCCTAGGACTATAGCTGCCCAAGGCTCTGCTGGAGTAACAGAACCTGTCCAAAATCGACCATCTGGCCGTGTTGTTGGTATTATAAAGCGGAATTGGCATTCGTAAGTCGACTTCATAGGTTTTATGAAGCATTTTTGTCTTGCTGACATAAGTGGTATCTTATTTAGTTATTATTTGGCTGAAAGATGTTTCTTCATTTAAGTAGGTAGTAAAAAATGCGATACCTTTCAGCTGTCTGTGGGTATGCAAGTGATTGTTGTGCTATATTAACATCCCACCCTACCCGGATGTTTGTAGATTCTCATTTCTCACACTTAATTTGCACTTGCAGAGATGTTTATTGTGAATTTCTTTTCTGGTTGGCTCTGTTTTCTGATATAAATTGATATTCATGCAGTTATTGTGGATCTTTGGAGCCCATGGCTAAGCCTGCGGGTGGTGGTGGTATTGCCCATGCTTTATTTGTCTCAAAAGATCGAAGGATTCCAAAGATTCGAATTCAAACTCGACAGCTTGAGAATCTGATGGATAAGAGAATTATTGTGGCAGTTGATTCATGGGACCGTTTGTCTCGGTATCCTTCTGGCCATTATGTACGAACCATAGGAGTAATAGGTGATAAAGATACTGAAACTGAGGTACGTTGGAAGGGGTTCAGTTGTTTGCATTTGTTTGTTTGAACATCTATCTTTTAGTATTTCTAATTTTTTTTTCCAAAAGAAACAAAGGCTAAAGACATTGCGCGCTATTTGAACATCCAATCAATTGAATTTTAGATGGCAGTGACACTAATTTAGCTCTTTGGATGTTGCAGGTGGTCTTGATTGAGAATGATATAAATACAAGACCATTTTCTTCTCAAGTTCTTGCATGCTTGCCACCGCTACCATGGTTTGTGTCTTCTGAAGATTTGGCAAATCCTATTAGACAGGATTTGCGACAATTGCGTGTCTTTAGTGTTGATCCTCCTGGTATATGACCCATAGATTAAATCTTTTTGTGTTTGTTGTTCCCCCTCTTCCTGCTTTCTTATTATTTATGCTGTTTTCTGTGGTGTAATTTTTTTCCACCTTGCTTCTTGTTTCTGCAGGATGCAAGGATATTGATGATGCATTGCACTGTACAGCTCTGCCAAATGGAAATTATGAAGTTGGAGTCCGTATCCTTAACCTTGTGACAATATATTCATTATTGGCGATGGGTGTCTAACTGAAATTTAAGGTTGATCCGTGCAGTATGAATAAAGCGTGTGCATGTATATGTGTGTCAACTGTCAAGGGAGAACACAAGTCTGAAAGAAGATACGTATTCTGAGAGTTTAGAAGATAAAAATTGAGTTGTTTATATTTTTCAGAATATATTACTAATGCTTTAGTCCAGTCTTGCCCGCTGTTTTTCTGCTTCCTACTTCTGTTTGGTGCATTCAAGATTTTCTCATTTTGCATTAGGAGGATACTTCATTGTATTGTTGTTACTTTTATGTGTCTCTAGGATTCTTTAGATGATGAGCTTTCTGTTAATTGTAACTCAAAATCTTTGTTATACATGCCTTATTCTGTCACCTCTATAATGTTCCAAGCAAATATTATTTTGAGTATAAATTGAGTACACAACAAGTACGAGCTGTATCTTTAATGACTTCGACTAGATATTGCTGATGTAACAAATTTTGTACACTCGGGAACTCCTCTTGATGATGAGGCTTCACAAAGAGGCACATCGGTCTACCTTGTTGAACGGCGCATTGACATGCTTCCAAAACCTCTGACGGAAGGTGACTTTTAATTTTAAGATTTTCTTTAATGAGTGTTGTATCCTATATGATATGATTGAATTTTCTGTGATTTAATTATATAATTCTTCGTATGCAGATATATGTTCTCTTCGAGCTGATGTGGAAAGGCTAGCTTTTTCTGTTATTTGGGTATATGCTCTCTCACTAGCTAGTCATGATAAGACAAGTACTTTTTCCTTTTTGAAATGGTATTTGCTCCACATCCATGCACACACACCACACATGCATCTGTTATAGTCTTATAGAGATACCATACCATATTATATTCGACTGATACATAGGATAGGACTAACCTACGTCAGAGTATGTTCTTTCCTTTTTGAAATGGTATTTAAGTGTTTACCTGAATTTCAGGAAATGACAGCTGAAGCTGAGATCATTTCTACAAGATACACCAAAAGTGTGATTAAATCATGTGCAGCATTATCTTACATTGAAGCTCAAGCGAGGATGGATGATAGGTACACTTGTACTTCAAACTAAGTTACCTTCCTTCTTGATAAATTCCTTGGGACTTTACCATTTGTGTTCACAGGATACTCTTATCATTATTAGTCATCATAACGTTTTATATCTTTGTAAAGTTTTCTAGTTACAGTTTGTACCTGGTATGTTATTGCTACATGAACATTGTGTTGCTTCACTTAGACTTGCATCCACCTGTTACGTTTCGATCTATATATTGAATGTACATGCTATAAAAATGCCAATATTGTTCAATACTTCTCTAGGAATCATATTTTGCAGTGATATGACATGTCCGTGATACGTAAATTCAATATATGTGATTGTATGATGAATATAATAGAAGTGAGTCGATCTAAACACTTAAAACAGAGCAAGTTGTATGGGATGGGAGTCTCTGCAGAATGTGCCCATCTGGGCTGGGAATGTTCTGATAAATAAATAGCCTGAATGGCTAACTCGTAATGTGTTGGGTTGAGCCTCTTCTGAATCCTGGATAGTGAGAAGTGTGCAAGTGTCTAGTTTTGTTGCTATACCGCTTAGTGAATGAAAAGAGAAATGAATTCTAGGATGAATTTTAAACCTGCACCAATGATTTAATCTGTTCACGGCATGGGATTTTGTAACTTGGTCCCTTCAGGGTTGATCCCTTTCCTGTGGCCACTATAGAAGTTTCTTTTAGCTTGAGTTTCTATAACAAAGTTTTTTTATTGCTTTTATATTACCGCAGTCGGTTGATGGATCCATTAACTACAGATTTAAGAAACATGAACTCTTTAGCAAAGGTATGCACATGTGAGCTCTTTGTTGGTTGTAAATTCATTAGTTAAACTGTTATAATATGTCATCTCACCTTCTTGGCTTCTTTGATTCTCGGAACATTGTGCTTTTCTACAGATAATGAGGGCAAGGCGTATTGAGAGAGGAGCCTTAACTCTTGCATCTGCTGAAGTCAAATTTGAAATTGACACAGAGACTCATGATCCTCTTGATATCGGTATGTTGTTTGAATGGCAAGCTTTCTTGTTCAGCATATTAAATTTTGATTGATGGTAATCTGACTCTAAATTTTGAACTTTAATTCTAATTGCACTGACAAGATCAGTTGTGCCGTTGCTTAGTCCACTATAAATAATTACCTTATTTCATGAAATTGATTGCTTTGTGCTGCTGTACAATCATGTAGGCATGCTATTCATTTTAGAGTTGGTGATGCATATAACATATTCTTCTTATGTTTGGTATTTTGGGTTGGTGAAGTTCTCAGCACCTGGGTGGACTTCATTAAAAGTTTAAAACATGATCTGCTTATTTTCTTGCGCAGTGATTTAATTCTTATGGTATTTCTGTTATCTGTTGGGTTTTTCATTTTTGTTAAAACATTTATTCAGAAGGAGAGAAGTGACTAATCTGACATTCATGTATCCATTTGAGAGAAAACTTGTCTAAAATCACTGCATGAGTTGTTTCTGCAGGTATGTACCAGATTCGTGAAGCAAATCAAATGGTGGAGGAGTTTATGCTTGCCGCTAATGTTTCAGTTGCTGAGAAAATTCTTAAACATTTTCCTCTATGTTCACTATTGAGGTAAGTTGATGGATTTTTCTTCAATAATTTCATGGTCTCATGTTATTTCCTGGAACAATGTTCTGGTTGTCTTTTGCTTAAAATTAAGGCTATAAAGTGGCAGAGCGATCAATTTAGGTTGGTTGAGTTGGAATGTGTCAATTTCTGGTGTAGTGTAGTTCTCTTACCCTCAGTTTGGATGTAAATTTCATTATAGTCAAACAAGAAACTTCACAACTTGTAGGAAATTAAATTTCATAATTTCAAATTCCATGATTTTGATTTTCCTTAGTAATCTTAAATTTCCTCATCCAAACATAGGGTTATGTATCGATGTATTTTTTTTTCTTAAAATATTTGTAGCTGTGGCCTGATGGTGCATATCTGCCTTGACACTCTGCCACCCAGACCTTTTTTTGGTCATTTAATGTTGTGTTTTCTGCAGGCGGCATCCTTCTCCTACCAGAGAGATGCTTGAACCATTGTTGCGTACAGCTGCAGCTATTGGTCTGAACTTGGATGTCTCATCATCAAAGGCACTAGCTGATTCACTTGACTCTGCTGTGGTATGTATTTTTTAGATATGTTATTAGTATGAGACTGATGGTTTTCCCAAGTTATGTAAACTTTTGCCTAATTATTTAATTTTCTCTTTAATAAAAGCAAAATTAAATCTTTTTCAGGGTAATGATCCGTACTTCAACAAGCTGATTCGGATTTTGGCTACAAGATGCATGACCCAGGTAATTTAACTTGAATGGTTAAAAGAAGTTGAAATTACTTTGAAGGACACCTTTCTAAATTTATTGATTTACCCTGTATTTGCAATCTAGGCTGTTTACTTCTGTAGTGGGGATCTTAGCCCTCCAGAATATCTTCACTATGGGCTTGCAGCATCTCTATACACTCATTTCACCTCTCCTATTAGGAGATATGCAGGTCAGTGTCAGTTTTAGCCATGCAGTTCTTGGTGATGAAATTATTGTTGTTTGACTTGGTAATAACTTTCTTTCCCGGCAGATGTCATAACACACAGGTTGCTTGCTGCATCTTTGGGGATATACAAGCTTCCAACTATATTCCAAGATGGACCCAGACTCACAAGCATTGCTGACAGTATGGAACCACTTTCCCCTTTGGACTTTTTTTATGTAGTGCAATAAATGATCGAATCTTAATATTACCCATGTTTTTGGATGTCGCATATTAATAAATAATATTACAATAATACTGCTTGGCTCCTTACCCCACAAGACAAGCTGATAACATGTTGCGTGTGTCCAAATTTTTCATTTTCCATTTACTAGTTTCAGTGCCAACTTGCACATCGACACATCAAATTATGATGCTTTTAAGGAGCCAAACATTGTTCAGCCAATCGGTTTATAGTTCAAGATTGCTTATGTGCTCCTGTATGGTTTGCTCTAATGAAAATATTTCTTTCCTATTGCTCTTCTAAGCCACGATTAAATCATTTTATATTCATATCGGTGCATTCTCAACTTTATTTATGCTATGTACATATTACTCTAACAATGTTGCTTCACTTATTTCTGCTACAGATTTAAATTATCGGCATAGGAATGCCCAGATGGCAAGTCGGGCCTCAGTGGAGCTCCATACTGTCATTTTTTTCAAAAAGCGGTACAAACCATTATCTGTCTGCCTCTGTCTCTCTCCTCCTTCCCCTCTCCCTATGTCTTTCTTTTTAATAATAATGCATTTTGTTCATGTAGGCCGACAGACACAGAGGCAAGAATAGTCAGAATACGATCCAACGGATTTTTCGTATTTGTGCCCAAGTACATTTTCTAACCTCATAAGTAGTTCTATTAATTCTTTATGCGTGTTGGGCAGATGTGTGCAAATATTTTAAGGGTGTTTTCAATAGAACTTGCGGTTACCTGTTCTCGTGCTTGACTGAAATATTCTGGAATGGACTCGGGTGTTAAGATGAACTTATGGAGATGGTTTGTATTAGTGAACTCTTTCTTTTTTGATCCCTTGCAGGTACGGCATAGAAGGGCCGGTGTACTTGACCCCAAGGGGTGAGAAGGGGGGCGGAGAATGGTATGTAGATGAGCAACAACAGAAGATTAGAAAAATGGACGGTAGTATTTCATACAGCGTTATGCAGACGGTGTTTATTCACATGGAGATTGTGGAACCCCAGCCCAACAGGCCAAAACTCCAACTATCGCTAGTGTAGACCAGCAACTTTGCCTCTCCCCAGTACCCTCCTTTAAGATGAGAAAAGTGTCTGGAATGGTGGCGTGAGCCAGGAGCTTGGTTCTAACCATCTTGGGCAGCGAAGATATGTCACGGGACACACATTGAAATATTGTATAGTTTCATTTAGTACAGTTTGTTTTACTGCGTGAACTTAAGGTGTGAGTAAGAGTTTTGGTAATCGGGTGTAGAGCTGAGAGGTTAGCAGCAGTCTGCGAGTTAAAGACGGGATGCCGTCGAAACAGTGCTGTGTTTTGTGCACAAAATTTGCATTCAAGAGGTGTAATTCAAACTGTTTTTTCCCAAGGTATCACTTTTATCTGTTACTTGTTTCTTCCGGCCCAAATTATTTTGTGGAATGCTTGAGTATAAATTTTGAGGAGGTTTAATCAGTGTTTTCTCGAGGTTTAATGTAATTACAACTTAATTGGCATTTCTGGTTTGGCTGGAGCCGGGAGGGAATGCATTGAAAAAGCAAGGAGGAATATAAATTGATGTGAGAGGAATTAGAGATGTTTTGAAAAGCAAAGTGATTTTCGCACGTTCTTTTTCTCTTGCTTGGAAGAGTGCAGTTGGAGAAATTAGAAGTGTGAAAATCATACCACGCTTTTAATGTTATCAACTGGTTGTACTGTGGTTTACATCAATCTTCCGCCAGTATCAAATTTCTTATTAGGGTAGTCCCACGTGGGTGCGACCATTACACTAAAAAATTTCTCTACTCAAACAAAGAGCATAATTTTATATGAATTTCAATTCCACAAATGCATACAGACGCACGAGATACATTGAGCCATGATAACCTAATGAAACCCTATTCCTTACTCCTACTACACACCACGTAAATAAATGAAACCATGAGACCTTCAGATACACACCAAATCATACCCCAAAAATAAAACAATTACTTTAAATTAACCAATTGAGTTGAAAAATATGGGAAAAAGAAACCCAAGGGATTGCTTGCGGCTCAAGGAAGTTCAAGACAAGATCCACATGAAGATTGTTGACCAAACAGTAAGTGCCAAGGCTGCAACCAAGTATGTCCACAGGAAGATCACTGAGCACTCTGCCTCAGCCACATCATACAGCTGCGTCATCGTACCTGCATACAACCGCGTATTCAAATAAGTACTTCTATAAATCGTAACAAAGTTCCAAGGTTCCCTGATTGAATGACCGGAGATGGTGGACATTACGAGCACTTGATGCAATTTGCTTACCGATATTCATGGCAGGCGGCAGGGTAAACTGAAGCATCAGCACAAAGTGGAACAAGGAGTTAGATGGGAGAAGCCCTAGTTTGTCTGCTCCTGTTACAATGCCAATGCCAATTGCAGGCATTACTATGTATTTGGCAATAATCACTCCAAGGAGGGTAGGCACTTTGATCGTTGGTTTGCGTAAGCCTGTTCAATTAAGCACAGTAATATAATAGTTTGTTAGATTATTGTCTTCCCTCCCAGAAACTAAGAAAGTAGTTCTAATGTCGAATATCATGGTTCCTGTTACCTTGGATCAGATTGCCTCCAAGAATGAGTGTGATGCAAGGGATTGTACCGTTCCTGTGTAGGGCATTTCCCATTAATTTACACACTATGCAGAGGATGTTTTGGTTTAAAGTTGTTTGATTGAACATTAAGGGATTTTTAAGCCTTAAACATAGTAATTTTTATGCTCTAAGCTGAAAGGTTCCTACCCGAGTTGTGTAATAGAGTCTTCGATCACATGCAGAGGGGCGTCGTCGCCAATTATTATGTTCTTAATAACCGTAATTGACCCAACGAAGAATCCCACAATCTGATCATAGACAGATAACAGCAAGTCAGTTCCATAGTAGTCATGAGGCCTTGCGAAGCGCTTATAACACAGGCGAAAAATGTTTAGAAACTCACTGCAGCAACCGTGGTGCCAATAACTCATGCAAAATCTGGCGAAAGAATTCTAATACTTTATGGCTGAATGGCATGTTTGATTCATCAGGGGTTACTATCTGTCATTTGAGCAATCCAGATCGTCCAAACAATGAGGCTGAGTAAATATACCCATATATATACCAAATACTGAAGCCAGACTGCTGTAATTTTAGATATATGAGGGTACTTACAGCTTGGTTTACAGAAGTTTCAGACACTACCACAGCGGCCTGCTCTTCATCCTCTCCTTTGAGAAGGTGAGTTTCCTCGTCAGCATCCAAATCTGTGTTGCGCCTCTTTGAGGCCTCCTCAGTTTCCTCGGCTGCTTGAAGCTCTTTCCATCTAATCGATGAGGTTCGTATCAGCTGGTAACTGTAGGTCCAAATGAAGAAATTACCAAGCTGCAATAGGCAAGTAATTTTTATTTAGCATTGAAATTAATTTCTTTTCTCTATAGATCATGAACAAGTGGTAGAGCTTTAATAATTGCATTACCGCCATGGAAAAAGATACGTATGCGAGTCCAGTCGTCTTACAAACACTATGATCGCCAAAGGGGTTCCCATCCTCGTTACATATTGCAGGGACAAGTATAAGGAGAAGGTTTCCCAAGTTTCCTATTCAACAAGATTGGTGATCGCTTGATAAGCACACTAACAATTGCTGCTAAGAAACAGATGAAAGAAAGAAAATATAAAAATTGACCAATTACCTGATGAAACTGTAGCAATTACCACACCTTCCTGATAAGGTTTTGGTTTAAAAATCTTTACCACAATCCATCCAAGAATCCCTCCAACTAGAAAGGTAAGCCCGATGTTGACAACCATAAACCACCTGAATCATTGATCAAACACGATACAAGAAAATGAAGAGACCATATTACATAACATATCAAATGCACTAAATCCCCTTAATCCAAAAAAAAATGGTATATGTATACAAGAATTCTCTGTTATCTACACTTATCATTAAGTTTATCAACACATTGTCAATAATATTGATGACATATCAAATATTGTAAGGTCGATATCAGTATATTCATCGACATATAATTGCTGCAAAGACTACGACCATATACAAAAGCGTACCATGAAACAATGTCTCCAAATGTAATAGTCTTGGCCACATTTGAAAACACCAGTGCGGGAGTGAACACCACAAACACAACCTGCATTTGTCATAAATCATGTACTTATTTCTTCTTATTCGTGTGCGAACACACTTACGTGCGAAAAAACCGAACATGTATGTACCTACCTTGTTTATGGACTTTCGAGCGTCCAACGGGAGAAGATTCCAGTACTCAGTTGCCATCAAAGCTCCCAACACACTGATTATGAGAACTTGGAAAATTGGCATGCAAGCCACCTCCAACAGCGTCCAGAAACCCATCTTTTTTTTCTGAGTTGAAACTTTCGCACTTTGCTGCTTCTTTTTTGTTCAAAACTGCCCTAATGTGTTTATTTTGCAGTGTTCTTATATCAGGTGGTTGCACTTCTCAGCAGTCCTACCAAAACAAAAGAAAAATCCCCACAGAGAGAGGGAGAGAGAGCACAAAAGGTTAGCCTATGAAGCAAAATACAAAGCAAAAATCACAGGTGGAATTTGAAGTATTACAAGGAAAGACACTGAAGTTGATGACATGGGGAGGAGGAAATAGCCATGAAGGTACTAACATTCCTCACTACTCGATTCAATTCCATCACACTGCGCGTATCTACAAAATTGTACATATGTTTCGGATTTCTCGGTTGTCAAAAACTTTCTTTCCAGGAGATTTTACTTTGGAAAATTAAAATTAAATTTTTTTTATGTATTTACTCAGATTTGGGTTGTTTTCTGCTAAATTAGCAATCCAACCATATATTATATCTGTACTCTGAATCTAACCAGGTGATAAAAATGTTAATATTTTAGGGAAAACTCTTATACATGTCCAATTTTGTAGCCAATATTTGAAATAGTCCAGTTTATTAAAATAAATCTAATACCTTAAGTTTAGGATTATTTTATTATCAATAATTATCTCTTTAATGATAAGATATATTATAAAAATTAAATTTATTCCTAAGTATCTCTTTCAGGTTAATTGTTTTTATCTACTTATACGACATATTCTTTTTTTATAATCAACATGTATCACCAATTAATTTGTCTTATTTGTAGGTATATTATGTTTTTGTACATTTTAGTTAAGTTTTATATCTCACTTATAGGTATAATACACATTTATACATTTGTTACTTGAGTTAGGGTCGTATGTTTTGCAGATGGATTTGTGTTAGTATTAGTTATTTGTTAGAAGATACTAAATACATTTATTGGAATTAAAAGATGCATGAAATTATAAGATATTAATTTATCTCTAAATTTTTTTGAAAATATAAAAAAGAGTATAAAAGTGGAAAAAGATAATACTAGATTTAATCAGACCAGATTTAATGCCCCTATTTTCTAATTAATTGTAAATTGGTGGTTTAAGCTAATTGAAATGGAACTGAGTTGGCTAACTATAAATGCCCTATCATAATCTTAATAATGGTTGGGATCATACCCAAATTTATTCTAGATGCAAGTATGTTATGATTTATAATAAATAGAAAAGGACCAAATCTAAGATATATATATATATATATATATATATATATATATATATATATATATATATATATATATATATATATATATATATATATATATATATAAGAAATGTATATAATATGATTTAGTATTTGGTGCATGTCGTCCAATATTCTAGTGGATAGATTGTTGAGTTTTCATTTATGTGTTCCGAGTTTAAACTTCCCCTCCCCTTAATTATTGCAATAGTTTCAAACAACATATGTCACTTTAATATAGTGGCAAAAAGTAATGATGTCTATACACTCTAGTGCGGGTTTGATCTCTCATCCTCCTAACAACTAACAATTTATTCTACCAGCAAAATTGTCTATCAAAAATAATTTGACAACTAACAAGGCATTATTCAGTGAAAGGCGTGGCAATTCCTGACACGACACGACACGAAAATAACAGATGTTCGGGTCAACACGATAACGAATCAGGTCGTTATCGGGAAACCCGATAAGCACCTGTTAAGATAACGGGTTGGTTCGGGTATACACGTGGATAACACGATACACGATAAGCAAAATATTAATTTAAGAAGTTTATAACCCTAAAAAATACTATAATTATATATATATATATTAATTTAACAATTTTATACCCCTAAAAACTATCATAATTATATATATATATATATATATTAAATTAACTATAATAATTATACCCCCAAAATATTAAATATAATAATTATATATATATAATTTTAAATTAAATTTTATAGGGGCTTTTAGATCTATGTCCAAAAACATAGATGGTTTTTAGGAGTGAGTCCAGTTAAATTACATGTTTTTATTTCTTTTATACCCATTTTATATTTTTTTAAATATTAAAAACCAATTAAAATCTACTAATATTATACATTTTTCAACTCCAAAAAATCTAATTAATATCTTACAATAACAACAAAAAAAACTAATATACTAACATAAATTATCTACAAAACATTCTACCTTAACTCAAGTAACAAATATATGAATATATATTATACCTGTAAGCAAGATATGAAACCTAACTAAAAGGTAGGAAAAAACATAATATACCTATAAACAAGACATATTAATTTGTGACACGTTGATTATAAAAAAGAATATGTCATATAGATACATAAAAATAATTAACCTGTGATATAGGTTGATTATAAAAATTAAAAATTAAATCTATAAATGGGGTTTAAAGAACAAGAAATAACAAAAAATAAAAATAATAATCAAAGAGATAATTAGGAAGAAATTTGATTTTTATAATAAATCTTATCATTGAATAGATAATTATTGATAATAAAGTAATTAAATTTAAGGAATTTGACTTATTTTAATAAATTGGACTATTCCTACTATTGGCCAAAAAAATTGGACTTAAATCAAGTTTTCCCAATTTTATACCCCTAAAAACTATAATAATTATATGTACAAAATAAATAGATTTAAATCTACTTAATATATATATATATATATATATATATCATTCAACTTGATGGGATACGAAACTAATTTCAACGATCCAACCGTCAAACTTGTTTGTATATACTTCGAGATCGCATCAGCAAAAAAATCGTAAAAAACAAACATTCGAAGATCATGTAACGGGATAAAACTTTTCAACGGTAATAAAACAAAAAATCACGATTTAACGGTTATTTTAACTTCGATTTTGATGATTTTTTACAGCTACACTCCTTGACCCTATATGAATACAGTGAATGAATTTGATCTTCAATTTAAAATATTTACAATAGTTATGTTATACTTAATGAAAGTATGAATAAACTCTTTAAGTATTAGTGAATCTATTGTTTTGATGGGATACACATTCTACGAAATTAGTTTCAACGATCCAACCATCAAACTTGTTTGTATATACTTCGAGATCGCATACGCCAAAAATTGCAAAAAAAAAAAAAACATCCAGAGATCTAGTAACGGAACAAAATTTTTCGATGGTTATAAAACAAAAATCACAATTTAACAGTTATTTTAATTCTGATTTTGATGATTTTTTAAAGCTACACTCCTTAACCCTATATGAATACAATGAATGACTTCGATCTTCAATTTAAAATATTTACACTAGTGGATACCACAAAATCTTATGTTATACTTGATGAAAGTATGAATAAACTCTTAAGTGTTAGTGAATCTATTGTTTTGATGGGATAAACATTCTACAAAACTGGTTTCAACGATCCAACCGTCAAACATGTTTGTATATACTTCGAGATCGCATACGCCAAAAATTGTAAAAAACAAACATTCGGAGATCAATTAACAGGACAAAACTTTTCGACGGTTATAAAATAAAAAATCACGATTTAACGGTTATTTTAACTTTGATTTTGATGATTTTTTACAGCTACACTCCTTGACCCTATATGAATACAATGAATGAATTCGATCTTCAATTTAAAATATTTACACTAGTGGATACCATAAAATCTTATGTTATACTTGATGAAAGTATGAATAAACTCTTAAGTGTTAGTTAATCTATTGTTTTGACGGGATAAACATTCTACAAAACTAGTTTCAACATCCAACCGTCAAACATGTTTGTATATACTTCGAGATCGCATACGCCAAAAATTGTAAAAAACAAACATTCGGAGATCAAGAAACGGGACAAAACTTTTTGTTGGTTATAAAACGAAAAATCACGATTTAACAGTTATTTTAACTCCGATTTTGATGATTTTTTACAATTACACTCCTTGACGCTATATGAATACAGTGAATGAATTCGATCTTCAATTTAAAATATTTACACAAGTGGATACCACAAAATCTTATGTTATACTTAATGAAAGTATGAATAAACTTTTAAGTGTTAGTGAATCTATTGTTTTGATGGGATATGCATTTTACAAAACTAGTTTCAACGATCAAACTGTCAAACATGTTTGTATATACTTCTAGATCGCATACGCCAAAAATTGCAAAAAACAAACATTCAGAGATCAGTAACGGGGCAAAATTTTCGACGGTTATAAAACGAAAAATCACGATTTAACGGTTATTTTAACTCCGATTTTGATGATTTTTTTACAGCTACACTCATTGACCCTATATGAATACAATGAATGAATTCGATCTTCAATTTAAAATATTTACACCAGTGGATACGACAAAATTTTATGTTATACTTAATGAAAGTAAGAATAAACTATAATAATTATATATATTAATTTAACAATTTTATACCCCTAAAAACTATAATAATTATATAATATAATTATATATATAATTATATATATTAAATTATGTGTTTTAATGTTTTGAAGTAATATTTATGTGGCAAAGTGTGGTATGTGCAAATTTTTTTTTTCTTAACGGGTCATAATGGGTCGGGTCAATTTACCCAACGGTAAAGTGACCCGACCTGTTAAGATAACAGGTGTGACGCGACACGACCCGTTAAGATAACAAGTGTTACACGAAAATGACACGAATACGAATGACACGACCCGTTTGCCAGATCTAAGTGAAACCTAAACATGTGTATAGAGTCCAAATTCAATCATAATTTGTTTTACCATGTATAAAGAAGATAGACGTAAAAGGACCACGAGAGGCCAGTGACGCAAATGGCAACACAAGATAAAACGACAGTGGTTAATAAGAAAAAAAAAGGTAGGGTTTAATAGTGTTAGAGTCTTAAGTACGATGGCTAGCTATTAGAATTCCCGGGGCATGATGGAGTGACTGATTTTGCTATTGATGTAGGCGGGTTTAGAGCATCTGAAATACTATTGATATATGTGGATTCCAAGCTTTCTAGACGGCAGAAGAGCATGAGTTGTTCAAATACATCAATAATTGACAATCGATGCTCATGTGCGACTAAACCCTAGAATGCTCGTTTTGATTACTCTTTATATAAAGCAGAGG